GGCCTTTTAGTTTTCAGCCTTGACTCAGGAAGAGACAGAAGACCCCTGCCTGAAGATCTCAAAAGGTTCATAAAACTACTAAACTATTGACTGGAAGAGCCTTAGAATAATCAGTAATCTTAAAATCAATCTGAACAGACCAGAAAGATGCTGAAACAGGTGTGATGTGATTGTGACTCTTGGTTCTGGTTTAAAGCCTGTAGCTCCTGAGTCCTGCACACACTGTGCAGTTTCTGCACTTTATGTTAAGAGACATCATAGATCAATGAACTTCATTTTAAGAAATGCCACACTAAATATGCTGTTGTTTGCCCATTGGCCACTTGCCACTTGCCTTGTGTCACTGTTTACTGAAACATCAGGTGAAATTGTCCTTTTACTAATGGCCAAATTGACTTTGGGGGACATAGTTGTTTCACTGCCCGTTTTTCCATTGTCTGTCTCTTGTAGCGACTTGGCAAAGAAGAAGAAGACATCCATCGTCAACCGCTTATCCCGCGTACAGGGATTGGTAGCCAATCCCAGCTGACATCGGGCAAAAGGAGGGTACACCCTGGACAGGTCGCCAGTCCGTCGTAGGCCCACATATAGACAAACAACCACTCACACTCACACCTAAGGACAATTTATAGTCACTAATTAACTTTGTCCGGAGAACCCGGAGAGAACCCATGCAGACACGGGGAGAATATGCAAACTCCACACCGGGGCAACCTCATACATCCGGTTTGCCCTACCAGTGAAATTGTTTGTGCCAACCAACCACATCAAATTAAGCTGTGTTGTAATTCTAAACAACCAGAAACAAGAGTTCAAGAGTTCTATTTCCAGTTTAATTCAGCTTCCAATACCAGCGGGTGTCTCATTTCTGCCATGGGTGTGTCACATGTGCTTCCTGGTTCAGTGTCACAGGTGGTGTTCTCTCCTAAATGTAACTTTCAACCAATGGCCAACATCCTGTGGAGTTGTCTCTGACCTGGCAGGGAGGGAGTGACCTACAGGATGAAAAGGTGTGGAGGAACTCACAGAGGTGGACACTTGCGACAGATGAAGGGATGGTGAAGGACACATGGAGAAAGAGACTTCAAAACTTTCAAACGGGCCTTTAAAAGCTCAGTGACAGAGGCAGGAGAGACGGGGGGGGGGGGGGGGGGTATTGACAGGAAGAGAGGGCGAGGAGAATGATCGTGTGAGGTAGAGGTCAGGGGAGACAGTGAGTGAATAACTGCTGAAAGGGAAGTATGCCTGGGAATGAATGGCATGAGATTTAGACATGACCAGCCCACCACCAGCTGTGCATGTTGTCCCAGACACACACACACACACACTCGGAATGTCTCATCAAGTCCGCGACACACACCCCTTGACTGGAGCCTGTTACACATTAACGCTGCAGTAAAACAGGATGAAAAGGAGACTGAAAGCTCTCTGGTTTCAAACTCTTTACAGTCACTGCTCCGATACCACGCCAAACTATACCTTCCAGTATCATCTTAAGGCAACTAAACACTTTCACAAACCACTCATGTGGACTAAAATTAAATATTTAGTCACTTATGCAAAATGTAAAACTCATGTAAAACTGTGAAATAAAAAGTTTTTTTAACTTCTATTCTATTCATTTTCATCATCGACAGATGAACACAAGAAAAGTAAAGTAATTAGTGTGATGAGTTTGAATCCAGAGACAGTAACTAAAAATAAACCTAAACTCAAGGTCCACTTGCTGGTATTTTAAAGCTTTCATCTGAATCTCAGCCTTCATTTCTTCCAGCATAGTGAGATCCAGTTAAAAGCTCCAGAAAAAGCTTTTCTGATGTGATAGAATAGAAAACAAAAAAGGAACATAAAAAAAGTAAACCAATTCGTGAATTTCTCTTAAAGGGGCTTAGTGTGGAGGGAAACAATTTGAGTGTTGAAATAAGTGATAAAAACCACAGGGAAAGGGTTGGGGCATGGGTTGGAAGCGGTTGGAAGTGAAGGGGCCCTTTCCTCAAATATTGCATTGAAGGGGCAGCTCTTCATACCTTGGATTTTACAGTATGTCAAAATAGTCCAGTGAAAAGTGTGGACTAATAATATATCACATCTATAATCTATAGTATGTCTCCAGATATTCCAGCTGAACATTAGAAAAATGTAGGAACTTAAACCCTAAATCCAAGTTGAGCACAAGTACGTGTCCTGTTAACAGCACCATTTCACCACTGCTCTGTTAGGTCTGTGGGGAGCTCATGCTGCCAAGCAGCCATTGTTTTACAAAAAGAATATCTATAACACATGAACAGAAAGATGATCAGAAATCTCTGAGATAACTTCTGTTCAGGGTTTTACGGAATATTGTTGCAAAGCTCGGGGGAAGGGTGTCTATGAAGATTCTCAGTCATCCAGGTCATAGTTATCTAATGAAGGTTAAAATCAAGGGCAACTGGACTTGGTTGAAGCTACTGGAAGACGTTTCGTCCCTCATCCAAAGGACTTCTTCAGTTCTGACTGACTGGCAGGGAAACTCAGCTATTTAACCTCAGTGGGGTCGTTGGCCCGGGTCATCGATACCGCTGGTTCGTTAGTGTTCCTTGTTGCTGTGACGACAGTCGTTACAGTCGTTAAGACTACCTTGAAAGAGGTGTCAAGGAAGCCCATCTACACCAGGGTCGAGAAGCCGTCATTGAACAGGGGAGGGGGTCTACGCAGTTGCCCTTGATTTTAACCTTCGTTTGATACTTGGGGGAAGGGATTTGGAAAGTGGGAAACAGCAAAGATCTGTCAGATTTGAATACCTGATGGGATGCTCAGATATTTATTGCTTTTTTTGTACAGAATCTCTGGGGCAGTGGACTGCTAAAAGTACTTTGTTTTTGTTCTGTGGTCTAATGAAAAACATGAATAATTTAAGAGATAATGTATATGGTATTTGAATGTGTGTGTGTGTCTGGCCTGTTTCATACAAAGCACTTTGTGTAAACCAATAATGAGTTGGGGTAAAATCAAATAATAAGTTGAAATGTTTTGATTTTACCCCAACTCATTGTTGCCGTCATATTTTCCAACCATATTTGTTTAACACGCTTATCCCAAAGGATTCAAGCTACTTCTTTGTTTGCTGCTCATAGTAAGTCTCTCACATAAATAATAGATAACCAGATAATGGGGTTGTGGTTGGTATAAACTATGCTGGTCCCAGTTATAGGTTGGAAAAGAAATACCACTGATTTTCATATGATGGCTCCAAAAGCAATATCAGCATCATTATAGTTCCATAATAACAATTATAATAACAATGAAAATGAATGATCCTTGTGATAGTGGAGTGTTTTAACTTCAAATAGACAAAGGAAGTGCTGAATTTGCATTAGAGTATTCCAATGGTTTAGCTTTGCACCTCCATGAAGCTGGGAAGACATGTGAGAAAAATCAACATCCCTGCAGGGAGGTGAGGAACAGGGACAAACAACTTCAGCTTGGGGCCGTGGAGTTTAGTCCAGCCCTGCAACTCTGGAAATAGGAACTATTCCTTTTGATTATTTGCCTTTACAGTGTGAAATTTATCGCATTACAGTTTTATTTGGGCACAAGAAATCTTTTGCATCTAGACATAATATTTATCACAATCTTTATGGTTATAGTATAGTGAAGTAGAGTTGATGGCTGTTCTGAGTGTATTGAAGACTGTGTGAAGAATAATGAGCATTCACTGTCCTCCTGTGGCCATGATAATAACTACATTACACTTATCCTGCTTAGCTCATTCAGGCCTTCAGGTCAGAGAATGGATGGATGAATCTGGACTCTGTAAAAATATTCAAGTTGCAGAAAAGACAAAGTCAAACAGTCAGGTACAGTGATGAAGGACAGGATAATGATTAAAAGACAGGCCACTTTGTAGGAATGAGGAACTCTGACGAGCAACATGTGGCCCCCCAGGTGGATTGGGCTCCTCCCCCTCCTGTTTACTCTCTACTGTGCACCTCAGCTAATTCATCATACCACCTGTGGGTGACTCACTGTGGGGTATCAGTGGACAACAGGAGGAGGAATATAGAGGCCTGGTGGGTGACTTTGTTGGCTGGTGCAGATTGAACCATCTGACGGAGAACAGGATGCTGTCCAAGTTGGTTAGCATCCTGAACAACGTCTCCCAACCTGTCCACCACATGCTGGTTGAGAAGAGGATCGTCTTCCACCAAAGACTCATACCCCCAAGGTGTTCCACCGAGGAGCACAGGAGATCATTCCTGCCGGTGGCCAACAAACTCTTTAACTCATCCCTGTTCTGTGGCAGTGTGGACATCAGTGGACAGGGAGGCTGCTGAGGTCTCACTGGACTTATTTACATTTTTTGTAACGTTTGGCGCAGTGCAATATCCCTTAATAACTTAATAACTTTTCTATCTATCTATATATGGGACAGCACCAGGAGAGGGGTGCTTGGCAAAATAAGATGTTACATATTTGACAAAGAAACTTTTTCAATGTTTTTTAATCATAATATAATGGACTTATTTTGTAAATTGTTACAAAATAAGTTTTTTATGGTGTAAAAATGGGGGTGGACAGCATGGGCTATGTTGTGTATGAAATGGACCATATTGAGGGTTCACTCTATCATTTTGACAACATCCGTGAGCATTATTCCTGTCGTTCATGTAATGATAAATGGAAGCTTGTCTAACTGTTGCCCATATTTTCAGTCAACATGATCACACAACTTCATAAACTATGTAGGCTATTTTCTTTCGTTTCCAAATTAAATAAAGGAATAACTGACCTGAAAGACAAGGATTCTGAAATTATATATATAATATCTAACTTATTATTTTAGTTATTTGTATTTTTTTACAAAACAGACAATGGGAATTGACCGTCGAAATATTGGAACTACATTTCCCATCATTACCTTGAACGGAAATGTAAAGATTTTCCCGCAAAGTGAGGCCTTCTCTCGTTCATTGGCTGAACGCAATGGCAGGAGGCGAATGACGAAATATGATTGGCCATTGCTCTCCCAGCAGTTACCCGGATAAAGATTGGCTATATTATCTGGACAATTGAAAGCGGGGTTTGTAGTTCAAACCCACAGTCGGTATTCGGCCATAAGAAGCTAGACTTTGTATTACAGCTCAGAAATTATCTGTGGATTTTAAATATGGTAAGTATTTCATGTCGTCTGGTGACATGTCGTAACGGTAAACTGTGAACGATAGTGGTTTGTTGTCAGTAAATGGTAAGCTAAATAGCCGCCAGTGCATTTCGTTCAGTCGCTAACTGTTGGCCGACAACAGCCATTAGCCGTTGTAATAGCTTAGCATGCTAGCTAACTTATCGTCTGTGGCTGTATTGAGCGAGCTGTGTAATGGCCACAGAATGCTAAAAGGGGCGGCAAGCCGGCCACCCTTGGTTAATGTTACTGACGAATTGGCTGTTGCAAACTCATGACCAGTTTTCGTGTTTTCCAGGCTGGTGGTAAGGCGGGCAAAGACTCTGGGAAGACCAAGACGAAAGCAATTTCGCGCTCGCAGAGAGCTGGACTGCAGGTTTGTCCATTAAAATCCATTCATTTCCCCGGCTGTGCTAACACAGGCTAACGTTAACTAACCAGACGTCGCAGACGTTTCTCGGCTTGTGGCCGTCTCTCGCGGACAGACCAGTGAACCCCTTTGTTTATGTCCGCTGTCTTTGTTACCGCTGCAGTTCCCAGTGGGTCGTATCCACAGACACCTGAAGTCCAGGACCACCAGCCACGGCAGAGTTGGAGCCACCGCAGCGGTGTACAGCGCGGCTATTCTGGAATACCTCACGGCCGAGGTAACGCTAACCTCGTTTATGTCAAACCCTTATGTTATTACTAAAATGTGCTCAGGAAAGCTGTCCTCAACCTCCTGTAAATATGGAAAACTTGTCTTTCTTCCAGGTTCTGGAGTTGGCAGGAAATGCATCAAAGGATCTTAAGGTGAAGCGTATAACCCCACGCCACTTGCAGCTGGCCATTAGAGGGGATGAGGAGCTGGACTCTCTTATCAAGGCCACTATTGCTGGAGGAGGTAAGGGAACAGTTCTGCAGAGAACATGCTTAGAAAGCCTTCATCTTTACTATTTAAAAGTCTACACAATGCATGAGTGAATATCTACTTTCCAATTAGTTTTTGCACTGCTTGAAATCACTCATTTTAGTTGTACATAGAGGCTCTTGGATTAGAGATGCAACTAATGTTGTGTGTTGAGTTTATTCTGTAATCTATAAAATTGTGAGATTTTCCCAGAGGCCAAGGGGACAGCACTAACAGTCCAAACCCAAGATGTGTTATACACGTTTTAATTACTAAATTCTCTTTATTCAGTAGTCCATATTGCTGCCTCTTTTCTATTATCAGCTAACATAACCAGCAAGTATTTAACGTATCTCGACAAACTTTGCTAATTGCTTATACATTCTTATATTTCTTTTTGTCCAGGTGTGATCCCTCACATCCACAAGTCTCTGATTGGAAAGAAGGGCCAGCAGAAGACTGTATAACCTGAAGTGCTCTGGGAGTTTGCATCACATTGTTAAATGTCTTAGATTAGAACACCGTTAGGAATAATTTTTATGGTTGAGCTTGCATTTACTCACCTGGGGTATTTTTTAAAAAGTGGCTTCAGAGAAGCTCAGTTTTGTTTTTTTTTGTTTTTCTGGTGCTGCAGTTTTTGTGTTGACACTTGCTTTTGTGGCGTTCCCATGTTTTTAAAGTGGTGTTAATAAAGCTCTTATTGGGCATTTGCAGTTTGTTCTTTCTGTTCCTGCATTTTCATGAGCTTGTTATCATTTCTGCTATACTGGTATTCAGTCGACTGATCCAGTGTGGATGGTGTTCGTGTGTCTGGCTTTAGTGATCTTAACCGTCCCAGTTTGACAGAAACCACCACAGTCACAAAGTAATGGACTGCCATAGCTTGCACGTGGAAGGAGGCATGGCATGCTTAGAACCAGCTTAAGCATGCAGACCATCAGTTTCAGCTTTGTGTGGTTGCATGAATTGCAAAGCATGTTTGACACCGGTGTACCCCTGGACTATGAACTGGGGAAAAACCCTGTAGTCATTTTTGGATTCCTGAATAAAAACCGGACTAGCACAGTCAAATCATTTTGCATATTGTGGTGTCTGGATGGCTTTCTGCATGAAGGCAGGTTTGACTGCACTCTTGGTTTCAAAGTGAGAAGGTTTCTTTCTAGAGTAAAAACAACCCATTTCCTTCAGCTACTGAGAAATAATGGGGTACATGTATCAATGGTTTTATTTAGCAAAACATTTTTAGGGGTTACAGAAATTAGTTTATGCTTAAATGTACAACTCCAGGATGTTCAGTTATCTGCAGAACCTTTTTAGAAGTTAAATGTAACCTGAATATTTGGGTTTTACAAGGGAGTTCAATTTGGACAACACCTTTTAAAGAAAATGGTTGTTTTTCAACATACTTGAAGGAAGTGCGCATGGACCAAAATTCACAAACACTGTCGAGTATCAGTGGGTCTGGCCAGGAAACACTGGAGTCCAATCTAGAATCAACTTCCTCTTCAGCCACTGTTCAGCCATGACATTAGACCACCACTAGGTGGCGCCGTAACACCACCACAAGCCTCCTACTCCTGCATGAAGCGCTAGCCATGGCCTCAGTTATTCTGATATCACCAGGAGCCAGCTTCAGAGTTCTTGGGAAGTTCTCTGAGAATGAATGGCATCAGTAATCATGACTGTCAAAAGTTGTAAAGGAAATTATGATGTGGGTTCAACAAATTATCTAAAAAGATTCCATCTAAAAATGTACAAATATCACATTCTCAGCAACAATAAGGTGTTTTTTAAACAGGTGTTCAATTTGATCCCAGACAGTAGTGATGTACTATAAACAGGATGGAGATCTGTGGTGTGTGTCAAGGCAGATTTATGAGGACAAAATCATCTGTGGATGACTTTGAGTGGGCTTTCATGGCTAACTGAAAGCTGCACTTTAAATACATACTGCGTATTTTAGGTCAATTTAAAGCTGTATTAACCAACTTTGCACTTTAGCAAACAGTTTCTTTTAATTAAGAGCACTTAATTACACAGAAGACCTTGCGACATTAGTGGTCAGTTACAGATGGATGAGATGCTATCTTGATGTAGATCCACTTATGGGGGCTTTATTAGACGTTCAGACAAAAGCACACATAACATGATCTGATACTCATAAAAGAAAGAAGAAAAAATTTTATGTTGTATACAGTAAATCAAAATATAGATATTTCTTTTGTCATCTTTTCCCAAATTAATGCTGAGGGTTTTTTTTGCTGTTGTTTTTATTATTTTTGGGCTTCAAACAGCTGTTCTGGAGCCTGCTGAGCTCACCTCTTTCTAAATCCACACCATTCGTTTCATTTTCTCACTTGTAGTCTTTACTGACTGGAGTGACATCACTTGAGGACATTCATCAGACTTCACACAGCTCCCTCTGAGACCCTGAAGGCTTTACACTACACATGTGAAGTAGCCTAGTACTCCTGGAAACACACTTTGATTTGGAAAGTTGAAACTTTGAACTTTAACAACCCTTAGTGGCAGCGAGACACAACAGAATATTCTTTTCATTCGTAAAACTTTACTGCCCATATAGTGTGGTCAGTACCAGAGGTTGGACCAAGTCATTGTTTAACAAGTCACAAGTAAGTCTCAAGTCGAGAAGGGCAAGTCTGAGTCAAGTCTCAAGTCCTAAACTTTGAGTTTTCAGTCCTAAACAACAACATAATGTGCTCTTCATAATGTGCAAAAAGGCAGAGGCTAGTTTCAAATGTCAGAATTTCATGACTTAAATGAAGTGTTGATGTGCTGCACACAGATTTCAGATATCATAATTTATATTTGGGCTTGGGGACGCTATCAAGTCAGTTAAAGTCAAAAGTCTCAAGGACAAATGAAGTCACGTCAAGTCATTGGTGCTTAAGTCCAAGTAGAGAGGCGAGTCTTTTTTGATTTTGTCAAGTCAACTCTGAAGTCATCATATTTGTGACTTGAGTCTGACTCAAGTCCAAGTCATGTGACTGAAGTACTACTGCTGTGTTCTTTTCAACATGTGTTGGTTCACATGGTCTGAATCCAGCTGTGGCACCTTTAGGTTGGTGAGCTCCTGTGTGCAGGTTTCCCACAGACACAATGGACAGAGTAGAATCTTATGTGGGCAAACTGTTTCAGTTACTAGCCTAGAGATGTACCTAATGGAATAGCTGAATAAAGGTTCATCACATAACCCTGAAACCGCTATTGTCATTTTGACATTTCTTCGTTGGATAAGCGTTAATTGGTGAAGGTGCTCCTGTGCGTGACCAGCACATCGGAGAGGGAGCAGAGTGTTTGATTCAGTTCAGTTCAGTTCAGTTTTAATTATATAGCACCTATTCATCACATAAGTTATCTCATTGCACTTTTTACAGAGCAGGTCTACACTGTACTATTTACAGAGACCCAGCAATTCGCGGCGAGGAAAAACTTCCTTTAACAGGTAGAAGAGGGATGAGAAAGCACAAAACTACAGGAGAGGGAAGAAGTCGTTAGTGACATGCATTAATGGGATAAGAATGCATGCAGATGGAGAGAGAGAGGAGCTTAGTGCATCATGGGAAGTCCCCCCAGACATCTAGGCCTATAGCAGCAGGACTCACCTGAGCCAGCACTAACTATAAGCTTTATCAAAGAGGAAAGTCTAAAGCCTAAATGTGGAGATGGTGTCTGCTGGTGTCTGTTGATACTGGTTTTCTGAAAAACTATTCCTTTAATATTCTGGCTAAACGGAGTTCACTGGGTTTCAAAGGTCCATTTATTTTTACCTAATTACGAGTATGTCAGGCTGTGTGTAAATCTTTAAAAATCTTCTAATAAGACAAACAGGAAGGAAATCACACATTCCTTTTTAATTGTGTGTCAGGAAAAAATGTTTTCTTTTCACTCTTTGTGTAAGTGAAATCAGATGTGACATTTTAAAATAATTAAGCAAACTTTTCAGCGTGACAAAGACTGGGCTCGCACGCAGCGCCAGAGCTGGTCTTGCTGGCTTGTCCAAACTAATCAAACATGCAGGAGAGGCTGAGGTCCTTAACTGAACAAATGAGTCCAAACACTACCTTGGTGCACTCCTCACTGTGCCTCATTTATTAAGAAATAATGAGAGGAATAAGTAGTAAACTGATCCCATATGCGACAGCACCAAAACTCAGAACAGTTGAAGTTAGTTGTCCTTAACCATCATCAATCTCTGCTTTGGTCCAGACTTAAATAATTTGTACACACATTCACGATCCAAAGAGGATGGAACCTACTGACTTTGGTGATTCTCTGAATTTTCCTCTAGCAACACCGTGACATTCACATTTGTGGTTTTTGTGTTTATTTTGGCACACACATTCAATTTAATAATAAATTCTAATAACTTTGGTGATCCTGACTTTTCATCTGGCATCAACCATATATGGTATTTTCAGATGGTCCAGTATTATGGTTTATGATCAAATACCTGCAAAACTAGTGACATTCCCATCATTTGTGTTTAGTGCTAATTATCAAATGTTAGCATGCTAACACACTAAACTAAGATGGTGAACATGATAAGCATTAAACCTGCTAAATATAAAGGGGCTGACAGAGCTACTAGCATGTAGCTCAAAGCACTGCTGAGATTAAGTGACTCCTAGTATTACCACATTTCTCTTCTGGATTAAACAAACAAAATACAACAAGTTCATCAGCGAGCTTGAGAGGTGTTGTGTTTGTAGAAGCCTTTTTGAAGTTCAGACAGAGCCAGGTTAGCCGTTTCCACCTGCTTCCAGTCTCATACTATGCTAGGCTAACCACGTCCTTACTGCAGTATTTTTGGGGACATTTTGATTTTGTTCGAAATGCCTCTCCAAAAGTCTAAACGGGTGTAATGAACTTCAAAATGTGGTCGGCTGATCCATAATTAACCTTTGGAGTCTTTAACAAGCACATCTGTCTGCTCAGCTATTGATGATTTGTTTTGCAGGCCTGGTGAAAAGCGGAGTGCTAATGAGGCTTTCCCCCCAGCTCCAGCCAGGCAGGGCACCACTCAACCATTAAGTCAATTACGAGTAGACTGAAGGGGGGCTCCTTTTAATTTGGTTCTAATTAAAGTGCAGGAAGTGAAACAGCGGCCCTCACCTACCCACCTTCAGGCTGGACGGTCTCTCCGGTGCTCTCTGGAAGCCATTAGCACATCTGGCCTCACTGGATGGATTTAGCATTTACTGGATTTTACAGAGCTCATAACAGCATGTCATCACAAGTCAGACGAAGAACTTACCGTGTGTGAAGAAGGCTGCTGCTCTCTTCCACTGTCTCTGAAAAGACTTCCTTTTGGTGGATCTGAATTCCGTAGCTTCTACCTACATATTGTACAAAGTCAATGACATTAAGGACAAGTATGTAAGGAACAAATGTGCCAAATTTTACTGCAAGTATTGGAAATAATGCAAAATATGTGTTGATGGGTGACACTAAAACCTCGACTTCGACTTTAAAGGACCATACCACGGGTTTTGCATCTACTATAGACTATATACTTACATCACAACTAACCATTATGCAAACCTCGTATTTCGTATGAATTTTGTCTACAACTTGCCGACATGCACCTTGTTGCATAAATGTGTCTTTTAAATCACGTCAGTCCCATTTCTGAATAAACCCCTGAGTCACTGTGATGTAAAAGCAATGATGACACAGAGACCTA